ATTTTTGGCACAACCCTCAATACATTCGGAGCTTAGTTCGCTGTAACCTGCTGGAGATTTTTCTTTTGCCCCAGAACATACATCTCCACTTAACCGACTGTTAGCTATCGACACGTTCGAATTACCTGAATTTAAAAATAAGAATAACTTTAATTCTCACATTTCTTTCACAATGAGAAGGTTAGTTTTCTTTCCGTTTTTATATATTTTTTTATTAGTTCTCTTAGAATTCATAACTAGTGTAAGCACATGTAAAATTACTTGAGCTATAAATTGTATAAATCTGCACTAAGATATTATTGACAGTTTCATGAGGTTTATTGTTTTAAAAACAACATTATTAGGAATGACAAACAAAGAAGCGATCAAATAGATTTAAGAATTACCTTCACTTAAACAACATAACTTGCTCTGATAAAGACAAAAGGAGTTTTAGCAAATGGACATGGTACATATGTACTTACTTTGGAAATCATAATAGTATCCTTTGTATTCTATGAATCGGTGGCTGGGGACATAAGTCCATCTAGAGGGTGCACTACGTCTTCCTCTATGATGATGTCCTTTGTGATGATGTAAGATGCAGCGGAGATGCGTTGTCCCAAAATAATACGGATTAGCGCCATCTATATTTGGAATATATATAAATTATACTTAAAATTTGTGTTGAGAATTTGCCTAAATAATCAATGTTAAACTCACAAAGCGGAATGTCATTAAAGTATTATATTCGGATTTTTGACATATAGCGATCAATTCTATTCAAATACACTCTTTTTAAATTTCAATATACATGTTTAAGAAATGTGGCCCGAATTAATACTTCTTTAGCTAAAGTTTCGGTGCTCTTTAAGGAAGTATCAACAATGCAAGTTTATTAAATGGCTGTTTAATGTGGTTCAGACATTAAAAGACCGACATAAGCTTTTAAATTTTTTAAAAATATTTTTAAATTTATTTTTTTGTCCTTTTGGTTATCTTTTAGAAAAATAAAATAAAATTGTTTTGGTTGAAATAAGACATGTTTGAGCTTCAATTTCGCTGCTAATTAATGCATTATATAAATATTTAATGAAAAGTGGCAAGAGGAGTCAGGAAGACATTTTACTTTATTTCATGCAAATATTTATTTATGAATATGAAAATCATTATTCGATAATATATTTTTTAATTTACGGATAAAATCATTTTTAGAGAAACATTTGAGTTATAGAAAGGAAATATAACACAATTACATTAAAAATGAAATATCGAAATTTAAGGGAAAGTGGCTTGTTATCAAATTTGCACAATTACTACTTAGATTTATCCGATCCCAATAAATATTAATGCAAAATAAAATATCAATAAATTACTGTCCATCTGAATTTATGCTCAACTGATTTTAAAAATCACATTACAACCATGGAATTAAGAATTTTTGTGAAATTGTTAAACATTTTCACTTTAAATATTTGCAGTCGAGAGCCGTATAATTTTAATCGGGAAAGGTTTAAAAATTTATTTTTTGTCAATTTCATTTCAATTTAAAAAATATGGTATTTACAAGTATTGGACAATATTTGTTTTTAACACAATACGAGCAGTTGAAAAATCATAACTTTCATCATTTATTGACATTAATTTCAACAGAGATGAGGACACATCTCTTATACAGTTCCAGTGTAAAGCTTTTGGCCCTCACCGAAGACAATGCCAGGTGAAGAGAATAGCTAACAAGGAATATTCGGCATTTCTTTTACATACTACCTTGAATAATGCTTGTTTACTTAATCACTAACCTCTATATGGGCATCCTTTCTCGTATTCACCAAAGAACCAACCATAAAAGCAGGAAACATCAAGAAATAAGGTACACGCTAGTATAAATACCTGAAAATATTATGATTTTTAGTTTTGAATAGAATCCTAAAATAAAAATCACATTATTTGGTGCAGTTTATGTGCTAAACCTGCTCCAAATCCCGTGACACTCTAATGACAAAATAAGAAATTAATTTATTCGTTCTCTGAGTGGATACATAATCTATGTTTCTAACAACTTACAGTGAAGAAATGCATCTTGGCTGTATGAAAGTTGAGTTTGTGGAGAATGTTTTATATAGGATTCAATTAAAGCTCTTAGATGTGACAAAATGTTTATGATTTTTCGAAGAACGCGGCCTTTTTCCAATAATAAACGTCATATAAAGCAGTTATGACATCCTTCGTTCCAATTATGAACGTCAAATCAAGTAGGATCTACCAAGAAACTACGTTTAAGTGACCGTTTGGTAACAACTACTTAAACATCAAAAGTCTCTCTTTATCATGAGCATTTATACTTTTTTAAGTAAACAACACATAACTCTTTCACAAAATTAATACCCGATTTTAAACAACACCTTTGTATAACTCTGCAATATGGCAAATGAACTGAAAAAATCAGTCGCAGCTCTCTCTCTCTCTCTCTCTCTCGTGGAATTAAAAGAAATAAGATTTTTTATATGGAAACAATTAATTCGTTCCTCAAATAAATTTTACATGTAAATACTTTATTAGATATTTAAAATTGATAAATTTTGGTTTAGTTGCAACTCGAACAAAACCACGTCTTCAAGCCTACTGAAACTTCAATATTCATGTAATTGCATTTAACTATACTCTATTTTAATATTTGTGTTAATTTTCTATGTAAAATGTTACATTGTTATCGTTACAATAAAGATAAGAGGAATTAAATATTACAATTTGTCAAGGTATTTGATAAAAAAATTCAACAATGATTTGTGTCTAAGTTTGTCAAGGTATGCAAAATTTAGGAAAAGTTCATTTTCTCTCCATTATTTGACAAAGAAATGGTAATACTTATAATTATTGAAAATCAAGCTTTTGAGGACTTATTGTCTTTCTCCTGAAAGAAAATAGTTCATTATAAAATCTTGCTCAGTAGTGCATGGCCTGTTTTAAATATGAGTCACATACAAAAAATAGTCATTATAGTTTTATCCGAATTAAAGGTTGATTTTTGTTAAAGAACTTTATCAACCTATATTTTTTTCAGGACTAACGAACAAAAAATATGCACATAATATTTATTGCATTATTTAAGGAAACTGTGAACACTAAAACGTTTTTGGAGTTTAAGGAAATAATATAAAAGTGTGCATATTTATTTTATGTCGTTCTTGCTCAACATAGAGTACTATATTAACTTATCGCTTTTTGAGTACTGACGTAGATTTTTGACGAAGATATTTACGTCATACTAAGGTTTTTTCTTTAAATAGTAAACTGGCGCAACCCCATGAAGAAAGAAATCCAGACTGTTAATTTATATAACGTAGCTATTGCAATAACCTCTAATTTTAAGAAAGAATTTCCAAGATTGCAAGACTTGAAGGAAATGATATTTTAGTCTTCATTTAAAATTATATACAAATTGCATTAATTAAGGAAATTGTAAATACTAGAAGAGTTTTTGGAGTCTAAGAAAATAATATTAACGTGTGCATATTTATTTTATCTCGTTCTTTCTTAACATAGGGTAGCGGTACCTGCAAAATTTCTCCAGGAAAAAGTTCAAATACAATAGGGAATTAGAGATCTTTCTGTTGTTTTACTTACACTCGGAAAATGCATGAAAATAATATTTTCAGTTATCTCATTTAGATCTTCTAGGATGATAAGAATACTTTATTCTACTTCAATTCATGTAATTTACTGTAGGTTCAGTTGAATTAGTTTTAATCAGCGTAAATTTTCAAAATATTAGAAACAAAAAATCGAGATCCCAAGCTTTTGATAGACATTTTCTTCCTGAAAGATGTGGATCAGATACCAACAAAAGAAATGTATTAAAAAGACAAAATTTTAGAACATTTCAAAATCAAGTCTTTTTGTTTGTGACTCCCGTGGAATGTATCAAGTTTGCAAAAGCGTTCAAAAATGATAAATTTTATTCGAATAAATCATGTTCTCATGTATGACAAAAATAATTTATATTATTAAGCGTTTTATTCCCATTATCCTTTATTTGAACAGTACATATCCAAAATTCGAAAATATTTTCCGGTCCATTTTTGTAATTTCCAACTAGATTGGACCTCGTTAAATGGAGAAAGAATCCCGGTAATAAGGAACTGAAATTTAAAGTCCCAGTGACTTTCCTATAACCAAGTTTAACTGTATTCGGAAACCACTTCTGAAGGGGATGCTTCACTTTGAAGGGAGGAAAGCCTGGCTATTTCCCGGGGGTCTACAGATTTGTCTTTAGAATCGAAAATCAAATATGATTTTTTGACGCAATATATGGCATTCGTATTAAACTTTTACTTTTTTTTCCGAAAACTTTTATTTACAAAATCGTTTTATGATAATAAGCTATACATGACATTTAGAGGAAATTAGCTTATTTTAAAACATTACTCCATAAAAAGTAGAAATAGCTAATTCTGCCAATTATTATCATGACTGTTTAAATGCAGTATTATAGAATTATTGTTTTCATTTGAATCAGCTTTTAGCATACGAACGAGATTTTAGTATATGATTTTTTTTAATATTGCAATATTTCGGAATACATTGCAGATAACTTCTATAATTAACATTCATAACTTTAGAGAGAGAGAGAGAGAGAGAGAGAGAGAGAGAGTGATTTTTTCAGTTCATTTGTCATGTTGCTGAGTTATACAAAGGTGCTGTTTGAAATCGGGTATTAATTCTGTGAAAGAGTTACGTGTTGTTTACTTTAAAAATGCATAAATACTCATAGTAAAGAGAGACCTTTGTTGTTTAAGTATTTGTTACCAAACGGTCACTTAAACGTAGATTCTTGGTAGATCCTACTTGATTTGACGTTCATAATTGGAACGAAGGATGTCATAACTGCTTTATATGACGTTTATTATTGGAAAAGGGGCGTGTTCTTTGAAAAATTATAAACTTTTTGTCAAGTGTAAGAGCTTTGATTGAATCCTATATAAAGCATTCCCCACAAACTCAACTTTCAGACAGCCAAGATGCATTTCTTTACTGTAAGTTGTTAGAGACATAGATTATGTATCCACTTAGAGAATGGATAAATTAGTTTTTTATTTTGTCATTAGAATGTCACAGGATTTGGAGCAGGTTTAGCACATAAACGGTACCAAATAATGTGATATTTCAATATAAATTTTTATTTTAGGATTCTATCCAAAACCAGAAATCATTATATTTTCAGGTATTCATTCTGGCGTGCTCCTTATTTCTTGATGTTTCCTGCTTTTATGGTTGGTTCTTTAATGAATACGAGGAAGCATGCCCATATCGAGGTAGGTGATTAAATTTTCAGGCATTATTCAAGGTAGTACGTAAAACTAGCAGATTGAGAGGTTTTAGTTCTTAAAAGGAAGCTTTAGTAGCAATAAGAAGAGGCTGGACAGAGTGTTGTTTATATGTGATGTGTCATAGGTCGATGTAATCATTTTTCTATGATCATTAAAAATTGTCGAACAGGCCCGTAGGAAGCAAATTCAGTTTGGGGGGGTGGGGTGGGGTGGGGTGGCACAGCCTTACATTTTCAGTTCCAAAAATTTCCTGACAACCAAAAAAAAAGGTCATCAACTACTAAAAATTCCTTGACTAGCAAAAAAAAAAAAAAAAGGTCATCAGACGTTTTTATTGAGGGGGCACAAGCATATAGTATCTATGTTTACTATAGTAATCTTAATATCGGCAAAATTATTGTGGGGCACGGCCCCCCGTCCCCCCCCCCCCCGGTTTCTACGGCCATGTCGAATATTCCTCGTTAGCCAATCTCTCCACCTGGCATTGTCCTCGAAGAGGAACTGAGTAAGAGTTGTGTTCCGATCTTTGTTGAAATTAATGTCAACAAATGATGAGAGTAATTGTATATCAACTGCTTGTATTGTGTTAAAAAGAAATATTGTCAAATACCTGTTATCTCGTACCAGTACTTATTTATTTACATGCCCAATAAAGGTGATAAATTAAATTTGCTTCTATTCGGGTAGTATGACACACCAAAGGTTTATTTAATGGATTCTTAAAGTATTTCTTTCTGACATATAAACTCAGAAATAGTAGTAAAAGACCAATATAACCTCTTGATTTTTTTTTTTAAAAATTCACTGAAGATTGAAATGTTTTGATTGCAAATAAGAAACAGGAGATAAAATTTGGTGTTAAATAATGATATTTTAGTTTATTTAATAAAAGTTATTTACAGAAATGGAAATCAATGTTAATTAGATTATTTAAATTTGAATAACATTTTCAAGAAATATTTTATTATAGAAAAGAAATACTGAAAACCATTTTTTAATTGAAAATAAACTATGGAATTGACGAAAAAAATGATTAAAATTATACTGATCTCGACTGCAATTATTTAAAATGAAAATGTTTATCAAAAATTCACAAAAATTCTGAATTTCATGGTTGTTATATAATTTTTTAATCAGTTGAATCTAAATTGATTTCTCCCTGGCTACTGGATCAGATGGACAGTTATTTGTTGATTTTTTTTTTGAATATTTATTGAAATGGGTTTAAACTAAGTCGTGAATGGTGCAAATTTGATAACAAGACATTTTTTTTGAAATTTCGACATTTCATTTTTAATGTAATTGTCTTATATTACCCTTCTATAAACAAAATTTTTTTAAAAGATTTTATCCATAAATTAAAAAAAAATATAATTAATACTGATTTTTACATTAAATAAAGAAAAATGTATCTGACTCCTTTTGCTATTTTACATTAATTATTTATATAACGCATTAATTAGCAGCAAGATTTAAGCTAAAAAAATGTCTTACTTCAATCAAAACAACTTTAATTATTTTTCTCAAAGATAATCAAAAAAAAAAAAAAAAAAAAAAAAAAAAAATTAAATAAAAAAATTAAAAAAGTAATACGAAATGATTAAAAACTTATGTCGGTCTTTTAATGCCTAAACCTTATGTCAAAGGAACTACATTAAACAAACATTAAATAAATTTTTGGTGTTGATACCTTCTTAATAAGTACCGAACATTTGGCTAAAGAAGAAAATGCGGGCCACATTTCTAAAACATACAATACAAAATTTAAAAAGAGAGTATTTGAATAAGATTGATCGCTACACGTCAAAAATCCAAACATAATGCTTTAATGACATTCTGCTTTATGAGTTTAACATTGATTATATAGTCAAATTCTCGTCACAAATTTGAAGTATAATGTATATGTTTTCGAAATATAGATGGCGCTTATCCGTATTATTTTGGGACGACGCATCTCCGCTGCATCTTACATCATCACAAAGGACATCATCACAGAGAAAGACGTAGTGCCCCATCTAGATGGCCTTATATCCCCAGCCACAGATTCATAGAATATAGAGGATATTATTATGATTTCCAAAGTAAGTACATATGTGCCATGTCCATGTGATAAAACTCCTTTCGTCTTTATCAGGGCATGTAAAGCTGTTTAAGTGATGGTAATTCTTAGGTCTATTAGTTTGCTTTTTTGTTTGTCATTCATAATAATATTGTTTTTAAAATGATAGACCTCATGAGACTGTAAATTATATCTTAATGCAGATTTATATAATGTATACCTCAAGTAATTTTACATTTTAGTAATTTTACATGTGTTTATACTAGCTATGAATTCTAAGAGAACCGATAAAAAATTTTATAAAAACGGAAAGAAAACTAACCTTTTCATTGTGAAAGAAACGTGAGAATTAAAAAAATATCTTTTTTTCAAATCAGGTAATTCGAACGTGTCGATTGCTACCAGTCGGTTAAGCGGAGATGTATGTTCTGGGGCAAAAGAAAAATTTCCAGCAGGTTACAGCGAACTAAGCTCCGAATGTATTGAGGGTTGTGCCAAAAATTACAGATGTAAGTTTGGTAATTACAGCCTCTGGTCTAATAATTGTCACAAATTTGCTAACCGGATGTCTGAGGTTCTGTGTAGAAGAGGCACAACCTGTCCTGACTGGTGTAAAGGAAGCTGTAATGATGTGGAGTATAATTGACATTTGAAAAGAAAAATGAAAATGGGTATAATGTGAAACGTGATGCATCAACAAATAGTTTAATAGTTAATTTGTACATTTTATGTTCATTTACTTTGGTAGAAATTGTGAATATGTGGAATTCGAAACATCAAATATGAAATAGAGAATTAAAAAAAAATCTCCAGAGAGTTATGTCTTCTTTATTTGACAATGTTGTATGATTCATGACTCGCACATAATATAAAGGGAACTTAAAATGTGCAATCTCTGCTTGTTCTGGGAAATTGGGCAGACAAAACTTTTATTACTGTTCACTGATTTCAATTCAGGATAGTCAATTATATTTACCCCCTTAGTCTTATTCAGGAGAATATGGCTCCCTCAGAGAGATATTTCCGTGCCAGAGAATAAAGTCTGATATTTAGAAACTATTTAAGGAAACTCCGGTATAACTATGGTAAAAGAGAGGTACACATTAAATGGAAGAAGTACCTCCATTTAATTACAAACCTATCCTGTGAGAGTGACAGCCTAAAAAAATACTTGTTCTACTCCTTCTCCTAAATCATATATTTTCTATTATATGTACCACATTCATAATAAAATTTTTTATCAATTTATATTATTTTTTTTTCCTAACCAAAATAGTCAATACGTTGCAGTGATGTGTAAAGGGGCCTGGACACAGTTGCATTGCGTTATGTTTACAATTTCAAATTTCTGTTTTATTAAAAAATTACTTTAGATTATTGAATTCAAATTTGCATGAAAATACTTAAATTTCACTGAAAATGACATTCTTCATAACATCACATCAAACATCTGTGATTGTCAACATGAACACGAGTCCTGTTATTGTTAATGTTTACATTTTACTGTCGATGTTCAATTTGTTTACTTTGCACACATCATGATCACTAAGCTGGGACTGAAAATACATGTACTGCTGAGTTGATTTTGTTTTTTCACATTTCTACTCTGAATTTTCTAGATTATAGTTTTTTAATGTTTTTCATAAATACACACTAAATTTTCTAATTTTCTTATATATATATTAAGGATAAATTTAACATAGTGAAACTGCAATGATGTGTGTCAATCAGACATATCACAATATTTCTGATTTTAATAACTTCTAGATAAAAGATTTTTTTCTGAACGCGCTTTTATGATATTTTGATGCGAAATAATCCAGCAACATATAAGTCATGATATCATACTGAAAATTCTAAGAAATATTAACCTGAAATCTGTGTCATGGTCACTTCAATGCATGTTATTCTTGTTGGCATAATTGGGAAATATACCAGAATACTTTGTGAAGTATTAAAAATCCAGATAATGAAAAAGGTGAAGAAAACGAACAGTTATCGATCACAAAAAAATCTAAAATAGCAATACAAATCTGAGAACAGGGCATAAATCCAGATCCCTGAATATATATATATATATATATATATATATATATATATATATATATATATATATATATATATATATATATATATATATATATATATATATATATATATATATATATATATATATATCCCATGTTTACCCCTTTATCCCGTGGATATGACTCATTGGATAATTTTTTCATAATCCACAGTTGTGACGTCACAATGGTTTTTGCGTTAGCGCGATGAAGTAAAGTGAAGTGGAGTCCTATATAAAACAGTGTAAAACATTGGTTGTGAAGTATTAAACATGGGATAAAAAGAATCTCCCATGATTTGTAGTTGGATATGACTTTTATCCAACTCGTTGTGTGTTTTTATCCCCTCGCCAAGGCTCGGGGATAAAAAACACACAACTCGTTGGATAAAAATCATATCCAACTACAAATCATGGGAGATCCTATATATATATGACTGCCGTCATGAGAAAAGGGCCCTTATCTTTTGACGTCACAATGCTCAGAAAACGACGTCAAAGTCGCAGTGTTGTGAACACGAACGTAATTTTTGTCGACAGTGTTTCGTGAACAAGAAATAAAATTGGATTTCCAGGTGAAATGAAAAAAAAAATATAAATGAAAATTGATGCTGAAATTTGTAATAAATAATATTATTACTATTAAGTACATGTATTTATTAAGGTCTTCCGTTCCAACGGAAGACCTTCTACTGATTCTGATGGTTAAGATTATTATTCTTTTTTTTTTTCTTCTTTTTCCTAGACACCAACTTTGAGACCTCATATCTCGCTCATTTCTCAACGGATTTTGCTGAAATTTGCTGGGTTTATAGACGTTACAAAACTCTATCAGAATGCTGTCAAACAATTCAAAAAGTCACTTCCGCTTTTGAGTTATTTCCCTTTAAATGAAAATTTAGGAGGCTTCAATTCCAGACAAAGGCTTCAAGACTACAAAATCTGGAGCAGAAATTCTACCGAATTTGAATAATACAAGGATTGAAGTTGTGCACATCGGTTTTTGTTTTTCGATTTCTGTATTCAAAATGGCGTTATATAGGGGTCAAAAATTAGAAAGCCTAAAAGAGCGAAAATTTAGACATATTTTCCATTGTATCTTTAAAACTAAAAATATTTTGATAAGACATGTAGAATAAAAGTTGTGCACAATTTTAAGGCCTTTCATTTGACACCACTAAAAAGGGGCTGGCCCCTCAAATTAGGGATCTGGAGCCCTTTAAAGTTTTTGCTTTATAACTCAAAAACGGTAAATATTTCGAAATGGCTGTCGTTAAAAAAGTTGTTCTTTAACATCTTATTGATCTCATGAAAATGTTATTTTGTTCGAGTCTTGTGTTTTAAATGCGCCAGAAGCTTGACCCATTTACAGGTAACTGTTTTCATTCAGCAAGTTAACGAGAGCTCTTCATGCGTGTAACTAAAATAAACTTACTATTAATAATAAACCTGGCTACATTAGATGCTAATATTCTTTAGAATAAGGTTCTTGAAGTGTTTTGTGCTTTATTTCCAAGTTATTTTTTGACAATTTTTCCTTTTATTTCGTTTTTTTTTCAAAGTTTAATAAACCAGTCTACTAAGAAAAAGGAAAAAAAGATAACCTTTTCTTCTTATCATATAAAAACAAACAATATAGTGAGAAAATAAAACATAACTTTGAAGCATAGACTATTCACAGCCATTAAGTGCACGCCTTTTACATTCGCCTTGTGTGTTTACAATTAGGTAACACCTCCCTCGATAGCGTGTGGCAAAGGAGGTCACCGGGGATCAATCGGCGTGTGATCCAGCGACCTAGTCATACACAAAACAAATCATAGAATGGCCTTTCCAAATTCATTTTATAAACTAAGTTATGAGTGGATAAATATGTTGAATCTTTCAGATTATTTCATATTTTTGATTAAATCGCTAGTGCATTTCATTTAATATTTTATTCGCTGAATTACAGGAAAGTTGCATAATTATTTTTATAAACAATTTATTTCTCGATATCGAGGTAATTGTCTGTTTTATTCAAAATAAAATTCAAAACATGTTACCTTAATTAATTCCTACTAGTAATGGAACTTTTGAAACTTAAATGTACATGTATGTAATCTACGTTCTTTTGTCGACGCCCTTAAAATGTACAGCTGTATATATACCATGTATACAAAGCGCCCCAAGTATACGCATATCGAGCGTATGGAAATACAAAATCCCACATTCACACGCTCCTCCAAAATATGTAGAATGAGACATACATGTATAACTGTATTTGAATATTACAAATTTATTAGACACCTAACATTGAACAAATTATTTTTTTTCTACTAAACTTGTAATTGTATGCGAACAGAATGATAAACATGTAATTATTCATAGGTTCCCATTATTTTTTCTGAAAATCAGAAAACATTTATCAGCTCTCTTAAGGTTTTACGGACACATACAATGTACACGCATGCAAGTACAGAACATGCACGTTTTATAAATGCATATTCAAGAGCGCCCCAAATATATGCATTATATATGAGTTACCGGGAGATGTCTCGTTTTCTCTGATCATATATTAATTGACAGCGTTTATGAACAAGTGTTAAAACACAGGCCTTTGTAAACCGGTAAATCACAAAAAAAGAAAAATCCGAGACATAAAAAACAGAAAATATAAATGTCTCTGGAAATAACATCGCCTTTAGATAACTAAAATAAATTAATGTCCGCCGATTTTTGAATTAATCCGAACATTCATTGATGTGTACCTGTACAGGCAGTGTGTCACTTTTTTGAAGCCTTCGGCCAAACGAACAATATAATAAATCTTGAATGAATTAACTAACCCCTTCAGTACACACACATTCGCCTACACCTGAAATCTAATCAAAATCAGATCTTTTTACGGCCCGAAATTCTGATAGTCGCTGTATTTCGAATCTGATTGACTATACATGTCCCTTTAACAAAGATTCTTTAATTTTCTTCGGGACCCCTGCATCACTAGTCAGGTGCTGTACCGACTGAGCTATCCAGGCCGATATCCACGACCCAAACCACTACAGTTTTATTAACTAATATCTTCATTTTCTTTTCTTTAAATCTTTTAATATTATTATTATTATTATTATAAATTTTGTAACTTAATTATAAGAAATCCATGCACGTGTTCCACGTGTCAATTATTGTGATAGAAGTACTTACCATATGTGACCTGATCATAATGCATTCATATTGGTCAACTCTGTGATGCATGGTGTGTATTTATCAAACCTTTCAAAATCCTTCCTCTTGACTACATCTTTAAGTGTATTAAAAAGTCAAACGACTTCCTGTCAATTTTGAATATCGCCACCGCACGTATATTCTGAACTTTGATTACCAATTTCATTATTTTCATCAATAATACATACTCTTTCAGCCTGTCGTTTTCGGATTTTTAAAAGCTAAGCTTCACACAAAAAATCACGGACTTCTTGTTGAGTTATAATGCAAACAAACGACTGAAGCATCTAGAACACAAGAAGGGTGGGTGGGGTGCATAACTACATGTATAAAATAAAAAAAAGCAAAGGCGGATCCAGGGCTGGCGCGCCGGGCGCACCCCCCCCCCCCCCGTTTGAATTTTTTGTATGTAGAACTTATATGTCCATTATCCTAAAATCAAGGAAAAAACATCTCTTACATGTATTTGTAAAAAGTTGTCAACTTCTGGGGGCTTCGCCCCTGGATCCCCACCAG